GGGGGGGGGGGGGGGGGGGGGGGGGGGGGGGGGGGGGGGGGGGGGGGGGGTATGGGAGGCGAGTCTTCTCCGAACCAGGTGGTTGTAACACCCCTACCCACCACCACAAGCAGCATCGGACCAGTCAAACAATGTCAACAGACCAACAGAAAGCAAATCCCAGTTTTGTTCGATATTTTTTGTTGGCTGACTTTGATCTATCTCCTGGCCCCTCCGGCAATCTCCTCCCTGTTTTCACTCCCACCGCTACCACCATTACCCTACCCAGCAAATATACGGGATCACCAATAACACGGGATCACCACAAGACGAAAATCGCACACACACGCCTTCACGGGGTCCCAGTTCATGGCAGATGAAGTGTTTCGTGTTTTCAACCGCACTGAGACTGACGTCTTTTCATTGGTCAGCCGGTTAGCGCGGTCGATGCTAACAATAAAAACACACAACACACACACACAAAACCAAAAAGCGCGAACAAACCGGTAAATAATAGAAGTACGCGACGACAAAAGGTAGAGGAAACAGGAACCAACCACGCAGCAACAGGAATAAAGCGTGGGACGATGGGACAAGGGCAGAGAAAGGTAGAGGCAAGGAGGCAAGGCGAGCCGCGAGAAAGGAGAAAAGACTCCCCCGTCTCTCGTCCTGNACACACACACACAAAACCAAAAAGCGCGAACAAACCGGTAAATAATAGAAGTACGCGACGACAAAAGGTAGAGGAAACAGGAACCAACCACGCAGCAACAGGAATAAAGCGTGGGACGATGGGACAAGGGCAGAGAAAGGTAGAGGCAAGGAGGCAAGGCGAGCCGCGAGAAAGGAGAAAAGACTCCCCCGTCTCTCGTCCTGATGGCCTTACCTACGGCTCTTCTTGTTCTATTACCCCTTCTCCCTAACGCACACACAAAAACACACAAAAGACAAGACCACACGACGGACAACGCTGGGTTATTTAGATACATGGGTGAACGGCTACTACACCCCCTCGTATTCGCCAAGACGATAAAAAACGGGAGGGT